AAAAAAAAAAAAAAAGCTGATACCCTGATACCCTGAATGAATTTAAGGATGGTGATGCCATTGACACAAACATGATTCACTGAAATTGGATACAATAAGTTTAAAGTGAAAACAAGATCATCCAAAAAAAAAAAACAATTCCTATACCCCAGTGTTTCTCAACTCAGTGATTATACTCCCCACCCCGGGATATTTGGCAATGTTTGGGGGTATGGTTCATGATCACAAGTGGGATAAGCAGGTTGCTACATGTATCTGACTGCTAAACATCCTACAACTCATAAGTGGGACTTCAACAACAAAGAACTGTCTGGTTCAAAACCAGAACAGTGCCAAGGTTGAGAAATCCTGTGTTTTAGGCTGCTGAAAGTAACAGAAGAGAAGACAAAGAAGCAGTCGGCACACAAATATAGATTTGAAAGGGAGCATAAAAGCCATCCTCCATTTTTAATAGCACGCTTCTCCAAAGAAGTGAGCTTTACAGAATGAAGATTAAAGCACCAGGGTGACAGAATTTTGAGGATTGACAATGTGGCATAAATATTTACAAAGGTATATACATGATATCCTTAACTAAGAGTTCAAAAAACTAAAACTACATAGGTTTGCAATGAATTTGATTTTACTTAAGAGGTATGCTAAAGTTACGATGGTTTCCAAAAGTAATGTCAGTGGATTTTATTAGTAGTACCTAACATATTAACAGAATACTTACATATTGACAATGCTTACCTTCAGTAACTGTCCCGGCACCACACGATTCCGTCAGCCCATAACCCTGGCCAACGGGACAGCAGAAGCAGACATTCATGAATCTGTGTGTCTGAGGCGACAGTGGGGCTCCACCAGACAACATCATGCGGACATTTCCTCCCAGCAGAGCCTTCACCTTTTTAAACAGTAACCTTGATAAAAGCCAGGGTATAAATGGTTTTAATATATGCATATGTTATTCTTGGAGACATACAAATTTATAAGCACCGGGAAATATTTCTCGTCTTTGGTTGAATTATCTAAATGTCAGAGTCATGGTGATAATGGGAGATTAACAAAGCAACAATAACACCTCGAAAATATGACAGAAGAACTCCTAAAAAAAAGGGTAGTACAGTATCGGGAAACTTCTCTGACATACAGTACATGAAAGAAAACGATCATGTCAGAGGAAAAACATTTAAATTATCTTTGCAACCTTTAGTCATCTCTCTTATCTCCCTTCTAATGAAAAACGCTTCCTGAGCAGCACCTGTGGCTCAAAGGAATAGGGCACCGGCTGGCAGGTTCAAACTCAGCCCTGGCCAAAAACTGCAAAAAAAAAAAAAAAAAAATGCTTCCTCTTCCCCTTTCTCTCAGCACATTTGAAAAAGCCATAATTTTCATATATTTAATACACTATATATGAGTACAACTCAGAAAACTTCATGAAAAATAAATCTTAAAGATCACTTTTTTAGTCAAAAATGACACTTTTAAACTCAAGTGCCTTGATTCAAAATCTATTCTAGCTTTTTTTCGTGAGAACAAATTTTATTTTTTAATCTTGAATATTTACTTGACCATTATCATTTATTGAATTGCCAAGAGCAGAGTCCAGAGTCCTCTGCTTGCTGTATAAATACAACCTTACGATCCTGGTGGTGATAATCAAACTAAATTAACTAACCATTTACTTCTTCATCGCCCAGATTTAACAACAAAAAAGATCTAAAAGCCCAAACCACAGAGCCTACGAAATGTACTTACAGATTGCAAAGAGGTGCATCATAGCCCTTCTTGATCTGTTCCAATTTATAATCATACCCTATCTTGAAAAGAGTTTTCTGAATATAATTCATCTCTTGGACTTTGCTCATAACATTCTTATAAATTCTATCCATGATTTCCTAAAAAGTAAACAAAAGATTCAATAATCTGAAAAGACTGGAGAGAGTCTATAGGTGAAGATACCTTATTTACAACCATCATTTTATTAATATTATGCCTTTAGTCACAAGCCTCTCCTTTTGATTTAAAAACCTGCTGAATTCTACAACACCCCTAAATAAAAAGGAAAAGCTTGCTGTGACCTACTCTACTACTTTGTTTAATTGATAATGTTATAACTAGAAGCCAAAAAGGCAACCATAAAGTATCTTACATCTTTTGAAATGTTTGACTGAACACTTTATTATCTAATCTGATTTTCCATGGGCAAAATAACTCTGCAAAAAATATTGGGATACAATTTTAAGTCTGATCATCAACACAGGCAAAAGTGACACAGGGTCTTCCTGGAATTTCTGAAGCATAAATGTGCTAAAACATACTTAATCATACAAATTTGAAACACTGTGTTAAGCATTTCAAAATTCATCATTACAAGGCTAATAAAATATAATCTTATTTGTTTGTTTTTGAGACAGTCTCACTCTGCTGCCCAAACTAGAGTGCCCTGGCATCTGCCTAGCTCACAGCAACCTCAAACTCCTGGGTTCAAGCAATCGTCCTGCATCAGCCTCCCAAGTAGCTGGGGTTATAGGCACCGACCACAACACCTGGCTAATTTTTCTGTTTTTAGTAGGAACAGGGTCTCACTCTTGTTCAGGCTGATCTTGAACTCCTGAGCTCAAGGGATTCTCCTGATTCAATCACCTAGAGTGCTGGGATTACAGGCCTTAGCCACTATGCCCAAGTTAATATCTTGTTTTTTTAAAAGGCAGTTTTTCACATAAGGATTTTGAGTACCTAAAATTAATTTTTTTTCCTTTGAGAGCTCTCTTAAATGTTCAGGTTTTCTTTGACAAGTGGGTATAGGCACATACATACATGCATAAATTATACATATTTCTTTTTTTCCTTCTGATTACCATGAGAGGGTTAGGAGGCTTGGATCAGATTCAACTCTATCACCAACCAGCTTTAGAGCCTTGGATATGCTGCCTCACCTCTGTGGGATGGTCTAGAATTTCCTCATTTTTAAAATTAAAATATTAAACAAGATGATCTTTAGAGTATATTCTATCTTAAAATATTATGATCAGTTCTCATACTAGGAATCTAAACTAGGTCAGATTCATCATTTTCATCACCTAATTTTCAAAGGTTAGCAAAGACAAACAGGTATACACTTCAGAAGCTTGCCATTTCATCTTTCCCAGTACACTATCAGATTTTAAGGAACACATCTGCCATGAATTCAATGAGGAAAAATTATTTTATTTTATTTATTTATTTATTTTTGAGGCAGAGTCTCACTTTGTAGCCCTCAGCACAGTGCCCTGGCATGATAGATCACAGCAACCTCAAACTATTGGGCTCAAGCAATTCTCTTGCCTCAGCCTCCCGAGTAGCTGGGACTACAGGCATTTGCCACAAAGCCCAGTTATTTTTAGAGACGGGGTCTCGCTCCAGCTCAGGCTGATCTTGAACACATGAGCTCAGATGATCCACCCCCCCCTCAGCCTCCCAAAGTGCTGGGATTACAGGTGTGAGCCACAGCGCCCGGCCAAGGAAAAATTATTTTACAATGTACATGCACATCTCCTAAAAAAATTAAAAACTATGTTCTTTAGTAAAAAATGAACTAAAAATAAAAAGTGTACACACACATCTGCTTTTAAAAGTCCAAGTACAAGAAATAAATTACATAAACAATCCCCTTCTGTTCATATTCATATTCTGTACTCACCGGAACAGCAGCCATAAGTGTAGGCTTCAGTACAGTACAGTCTCCCTTGCTCCCTTTTTTAATTTTGCTGGACTATATTAAAGAAAAAGAAAATACAATTAGAAAAACCTACCTTAGCAAAAACTGCTGTAATTCAAGCATTAATATCAAACACAAACATTAGACATGGAATTTGATCTTCCATTGCTGTGTGAGTTTTCTATTAACAACCGTTGAAACCTTTTTAAGTCTGAATTGTAAGGGCTTTAGTGTTTTATCTTCTAGATTGTTGCTTCTAGTATATTGTAGCCTTCCTTACAGGAGAAACTCTGATCCAGGATGACAAGAGAATGTGTGATATTTTAATGAATCAAACATTCTTATCAACAGAATATCACTGAATATAGCATAAACTACTACATTTTTTAAAAACCTCAATTAAGACAGACTTAGGACTAAAACAAAATTAAAGGTAACATTAACTTTCTTTAATCAATAGGCAAAGCCACATCTCAAAGTCATGACTATAAACATCAATTGACATCATACAAAAATCCTAATTTGATAACATTCTGGCTGGTAGGATACAAAGGACATAGCCAAGGACCAAGTGAGTATAGGCACATATATAAATATATACATAAATGTATACATATTCCTTTTCTTCTTCTTATACATATAAATACCACTTGAGATTTCAAGTATCAGATCAATAAGTAAATTAATAAAGTCATCCACTGAAAAAGATAGATTAAAAATTAAAATCTGCTTGGCTCAGCACTCGTAGCACAGTGGTTACAGTGCCAGCCACATACACTAAGGGTAGCAGGTTCAAACCCAGCCCAGGCCAGCTAAACGACAACAAATGCAACAAAAATTAGCCGGGTATTGTGGTGGGCGCCTGTAGTCCCAGCTACTTGAGAGGCTGAGGCAAGAGAATTGCTAAAGCCCAAGAGTTTGAGGTTGCTGTGAGCTGTGACACCACAGCACTCCACTAAGAGTGACATAGTGAGACTCTTGTCTCAAAAAAAAAAAATCTGCTGTAATACAATTCACTGATCTTTAAGTTTAGGTGTTTCATGTATTAGCCATGGCTAAGATAATAACAGGGAAGAAGATAACCACTGTTAGGTACAGAGGCTCATGCCTATAATCCTAGCACTCTGAGGGGCCAAGCCAGGAGGATTCCCGAACTCAGCAGTTTGAGACCAGCCTGAGAAAGAGCAAGACTCAGTCTCTACTAAAAATAAAAAAAATTAGCCATGTGAAGCATGCCTGTATTCCCAGATATTCAGGAGGATGAGGCAGGAGGATCACTTGAATCCAGGAGTTTGAGGTTGCTAGGCTGACACCAGGGCACTCTAGCCTTGGGCAATACAGAGTAAGACTCTGTCTCAAAAAGAAAGAAAGAAAGAAAATCAGCTCTTAAGAAGCAGGATGAAGCCTGGTGCAGTGGCTCATACTTGTAATCCTAGCACTCTGGGAGGCCAAGGCCAGTGGATTGCTTGAACTCAGGAGTTTAAGACCAGCCTGAGAAAGAGTGAGAACCTATTTCTACTAAAAATAGAAAAACTAGCCAGGTAGGCACCTATAATCCTAGCTACTTGGGAGGCTGAGACAAGAGGATCACTTCAGCCCAGGAGTTTGAGGTTGCTGTGAGCTATGACACCACGGCACTCTACCCATGGCAACAGAGACTCTGTCTCAAAAAAAAAAAAATGAAAAGAAACAAAGAAAAGAAAAGCAGGATGATCCACCAGAACTACCAGCTTGGGCATAGAGAAAGTTCTGCTAGTAGAAATGAATCACTTTTCTCCTACTTTTCTTAAAAATGAATAATGGCGGGTGGTGCCTGTGGCTCAGTGAGTAGGGCGCTGGCCCCATATACAGAGGGTGGCGGGTTTGAACCCAACCCTGGGCCAAACTGCAACAAAAAATAAATATGCGTTGTGGCGGGCGCCTGTAGTCACAGCTACTTGGGAAGCTGAGTCAAGAGAATCACCTAAGCCCAGGAGTTGGAGGTTGCTGTGAGCTGTGACGCCACAGCACTCTACCAAAGGTGATAAACTGAGACTCTATCACCAAAATAAATAAATAAAATAAAACAAAATGATAAAGGAGATGAAATAACACATTGCGTTTCATGTATGTGCAAGCATGTACACTTTTGCGAGTGGAAACCTACACACACACACACCATGCACAGGAGGGTTCCTCTGTAGACAATGTGGGTTCTCATATGCTTCAGGTTGGAGCTGCCCTCTCCATGCTACTGACCAGATTTTGCTATAGAGAGCAGTTCCAGGGCAAGAGGCCACAAGGAACCTTACATTTAACATACACATACATATATTGCTTTATTATTCTTAGTAATATTATAAGTTCTTTGTCTTTCAATGATCTCAGTAACCCCAGTTATGGTGACAAAGCTATCATCAGCTGGCTTCAAATGTAGTGCCTCTGACTTTCTGCGGTTTTTTGGATAGTCTTATGTGAGGAAAATTCCTAAATTGTAGATTCCTAAGAAGACTAAGAGTCTTTACAATAAAGTTAATTGAAAAAGTATGTTGTAAACGTTATTTAACAGGCTTCCAATGTACTAGCTTGGCCTAAGAGACAGCAAGAATTAAGTCAGACCAATAATAGACTCCAACTGGCCTTCTTTCCTCCACACTGAGGCTATTGTTCTCAGAAAGGCAATGGAGAAAAAAAGGGTTGCTAGTCCCCAGCTTCTGAAGTTCCTCAAAAGAGAAAAAGAAATCTTACTCAAAGCTAACTGAGAAATGTTCATTTTTGATGTCTCTGAACATAAAAAACTTCATTATGATGCCTCAAAACAGTATCACCACAAATTTTTTTTTTAAAAAGGAAATCTTTTTGAGACAGAATCTCACTTTGTTGCCCCCCCCCTTTTTTTTTTTTGCAGTTTTTGGCCAGAGCTGGGTTTGAACCTGCCACCGCTGGCATATGGGGCCAGTGCCCTACTCCTTTGAGCTTTGAGCCACAGGCGCCATCCACTTTGTTGCCCTTAATAGAGTGCTCTGACATCACAGCTCACAGCAACCTGAAACTCTTGTGCTTAAGCGATTCTCTTGCCTCAGCCTCCCAAGTAGCTGGACTACAGGTGCCCTCCACAGCACCCAGCCATTTTTAGAGACAGGGTCTCACTCTGACTCAGGGTGGTTTTGAACCTGTGAGTTCAGGCTATTCACCTGTCTCAGCCTCCCAGAGTGCTAGGATTACAGGCGTGAGCCAACTGCACCTGGCCTAAAAAAAAGTTTTTATAGCTTAACCTTCAGTCTTAATCATAGGTCTAATTTGACTTTACTAGATCAAGTTCTGTTTATTAGTTTATTTGATCATCTGTTTATTTTCTCCATCACTATTCTAACAGATTTTAAATGTGAACTTTTAGTTGGGTGGTAAGTTCAATTAAATACAGTATCACCCCCATCTTACAAAGAGGTTGTGTTCCTTAAGGTCCAATGTTGGAAGTTGTTTGGAACAGAACACTTGCTCCACTTTCTCCTAGAAAAAGCCATTTTAAAGTTAGATCAGGCGTCCTCAAACTACAGCCCGCAGGCCACATGCAGCCCACCTAGAACATTTATCCAGCCTGCCGGGTGTTTTTGCCACTGCTGCCTGTCCTGCTTAGCAGCCAACTCGTCCCAGGTCCACAGTCCAGCCCTCCAACGGTCTGAGGGACAGTGAACTAGCCCCCTGTTTAAAAGTTTGAGGACCCCTGAGTTAGATTATCCTTATGGGTTGGTAGTGACTAGGAGGGGATACAAGAAATATTCTGGGCTCGGCACCTGTGGCTCAAGCAGCTAAGGCACCAGCCACATATACCTAAGGTGGCAGGTTCGAATCCAGACTGGGCCCGACAAACAACAATGATGGCTGCAACCAAAAAATAGCCAGGCCTTGTGGCAGGCGCCTGTGGTCCCAGCTACTTGGGAGGCTGAGGCAGGAGACTCGCGCGAGCCCAGGATTTGGAGGTTGCTGTGAACTGTGATGCCACAGCACTCTACCCAGGGGGACAGCTTGAGGCTCTGTCTCAAAAAAAAGAAAGAAACATTCTGGAGTACTGAAAACATTTTTTTATGGGTCTAGATGGTGATGATCACAAAGGTCTGTATGTGTATGTGAAATTTAATCAAGCAGTATTTAATATTTGTACACTTTATAAGTCAGACATCAAAAACAAAACAGAGCAGGAAGTGGGAATCTCAAATACAGTCACCAAAATAATCTATTTAACTTCTTTGTCTTAAGGCTACATAATCTACCTAACCTCTCCCTAAAATATGTATTATATTTTTTAACTGTGAGCACCAAGGGCAGATCTTCTTACCAACTACATGCTCCGTGGAGACTCCCAAACAAAAGGACAGCATTACCTAGTGTTCTGAAAAATCACTGCCAGGCCTCCAGTGATGGGAGGGGCAGAAGCCCATGTAGAATCAAGTCATTCCTACCTATGCTCACTATATCTTTTAACACTCTGAACCCCACAGTTTCCTTAGAGGCTCTGTTTGTTTGTTCCCTATGTAAGGTTGTGGATTCTCTATAGTAACTACTCCAAAGGCGTAAAACAGAACTATGGACAATAGATATTATATGTATGATTTCAAATGGCCTTAAAATACATGAATTAGCCCCACCCATTGTTGGGCATCCTACTATGAACCACACAGAAGGAAGAACCCTGCCTCAGTGTAGCAAGCTGAGGGCTGCCTTTGGAGATGCTGCTGTGCTGTCCAATAGAACTTTCTGTGATGATGGAAATATTCTGTATCTGTGCTGTTCAATATGGTAGCCATTGGTCAGATGGTGCTACTGAGAACTTGACGTGTGGCTAGAGCAAATAAGAAACCAAAAATTGTTTTTAATTTAAATTTAATTGTTATTAATTCCTATTTAAATATGTGGTTAGGCCAAGTGCCATGGCTCACATCTATAATCCTAGCACTCCTGAGTTCAGGCAGGTGGGTCACTTGAGCTCAGGAATTTCAGACCAGCTTGAGCAAGAGCAAGACCCACCCTCTACAAATAGAAAAACCACCCAGGTGTGGTGGCAGGTGCCTGTAGTCCCAGTTACTCGGGAGTCTGAGACAGGAGGATTGCTTAAGCCCAAGAGTTCGAGGTTGCTGTGAGCTCTGACACCACGACACTCAAGCCGTGTGACTCTATGTGGCTAGTGGTTACTATATTGGATGGCACAGATCTAGAGAAAACTCAAAGGAACACTGTGCCCAAACCCTGCCATATCTCTTCCCCCAAAAAACTCATCAATGATCATGGGTACCATGTCAAAAAGGTTCAGTGTATTTATATTCTCTATCTTAGATTTTAATAGTAAAAATATAATACAGGAGGAAAATATGAAAGCCATTATTCATTTCAAAATAATTTAAAAATATGTAGATTAAGCAATGCTAACAGACCCATAGGGTTACTGGCTACCACTACATCTTCCTTATGGAAGCTATTGTTGAAGTGAAGGAGAAAGCTTTAACCGAATTAAAATCTCAGGTTTTAGTAATATGTTCTCAACCAAACAATGTAACTTAATATGATCATGCCAATGCATTGAAAAGGTTTTTACCTGATCAGACAGTGTAAGTGGAGAAGAATATCCAATCCTACAGCCATAGGTAAAGCAAGAAATCTCTGCTGTCAGTTCTAGCACATGAGCCAAAGGCAAGTAGCCAATGTATGTGTCCTTTGGTCTAAAAGAAAATAAGAGAAACACTGTAACCATTCCTGAAAAGGCTCTTTAAATCAGAAATATCAATAACTTTATCATTTAAAATATAGACTGAGGTTAGAGAATGTTGAACATGAGTGATGATTTCTAAGAAGAAAGCTAAATAATTCTCTCTTACCCCAGTCCAGGTATTCTTTCACATTGGCCTGTCATTCCAGCTATCAAATTGCTATGATGCATCATCACTCCCTTAGGTCGGCCAGTAGAACCACTGGTATACATGACAATGGCCATGTCTGAAGGTGTTGGTCTACTTGGAGGAACGCTCACTAAATAAATAAAAAAGTACCACATTTTTTCAGCTCAAAGTTTAAAGTACTAAACAATGATACCTGGATTTTGCATAATGACAAACTATCAGTTGAAAGCACTTGCTTTTAAATAATGAAAACACAGTTATCAAAGTTCAGTTCGCTGCAATGAGGATTTCAAACTCAATTTGGCCCATTTTCTTCTGGATGTTTGGCTTAATCTCCATCTGCTCAAGCCTCTCCACAGGGTTGTATACAGAGAGATGGTGTGGAAAGATTTCTGGGACTCTGGAGAATCAGGAGGGTAGAGAATTGCATGCAAGCTCCTTAGTCCTCAGTTTTCTCATCTCTAAAATGAGACAGACTAGACTGTAATTCTTAACCACTGGTGGGCATCTGAATCACCTACAGTTTAAACAAAATGCTATTTCTGTAGCCCATTTCTGAAAATTTGGATTCAGTATATCTGGAATAGGAATAAAGCTCCACATGTGACTCTCATACATACCTGTGATAGAAATAGAAAAGCACGGGACTTAATCTTTAAAGCAACTTCAACACTAAAATACCAAGGTGCTAAGTTTCAAATAGTATACTGAGGCTTCCACTTTCAAGACAACATATTATACTAACCTAGTAATGTCTTTTCCTTCCCAGAATATACAAAAATGGCCATGAATACATAGACATGTAATCAGAATTAATTAAAAATTTTTAACAAGATTATTAGATTTGAAACCAGCAAGATAATAACACTGAAATACCCAAAGATAAAGCCATACTCCAATTGGCTAATTTTAACGCTTTACAGTTTAGAAACCTAGTAGATAAGGTCTATATACTTCCTCTGATGATTAGCCCAAGCAACAGCAGTAGCTATGATAAATTCTTCTCGGTGTATGCACATGATATGACACTTTACTTCTGCCTATTTTTGAATAAACATGCAAAAAAAATCATCATAATAGCAACTGTCTGCTCAGGAAAACACCCTAAACTATATGTATCCTATCTACTGTAGAAATGAATGAAACTAAATGGGATACACGACCCCACCACATTATTGGTAATACAAAATTATGAAGACTCTACCCCCTTAGTTTTGTGCTAATCTCCTTTGATGAATTAAAAGAATGGGCAAGAAACCCCTACCAATGAGGACCTCTTCTAAGTTTACCCCAAGGTTGCAGAATCAATCTGGTGTTCAGAGGTAATTCTCCTTGGATTTCTTATGTTTTACAAAAAAAGGCACTTACTTCATTCCAGACTATCTCATCAAGGATATTTGAACAGAGATAGTGTCTCTCTCCAGAGCAAGCTAGCTTACTGTCCAGGACAATAAAGATAATAAAATGTTCAGACTCCCTAATCTCAAAGTTCCTCCTCTCCTATGACACAAATGCTGGCATGATACTCTGGCTACTGCTATTGCTGTGAATCAAAAAACCATCCTTTATCTCCAAGTCAGGAGTCTTAGGTCTTCATGAA